GGGGTTTAGGGGTTTAGGGGTTTAGGGTTTAGGGGCTTTGGGGTTTTGGGTTTGAGGGTTTAGGGTTTAGGGCTTTAGGGGTTTAGGGGTTTAGGGTTTGGGGGTATAGGGTTTAAGGGTTTGGGGGTTTAGGGTTTAGGGTTTGGGGTTTCGGGCTTATGGGTTCGGGAGTTTAGCGTATGGTGTGCACGTGTTGCTTCTGTGCTTCTTCTTGCGTGTCTTTTGGCTGACCTTCTGCTTCGTACGCAGACTTTGTTGTGGGCGCTTAAAAAGTAAGTTGTTTTTGGCTCTAGGACCCAGGCCTCTGGAGATGTTTGGGGATTTTGGGGGTTTGAGGGTTTGGGAAGTTCTGTTCTGGTGACGTTTTAGGATTTTGGGGCTTCCTGAATGGGCATGGATTTGTTTTGCTTTGGATTGCGTCTTTGTAGTGCTTTTGATTGCTTTCTATAGATCTTTTGGGGCTTCCATAGGGCTTTATTGCATCTTCTTTAGTGCATTAGTAGGCTTTTGGGTTCCGTCCCATACGGATTCTAAGGTGTAAGGGAAGGGCTCTACGGGGAGTGATATGGTTGTCGAAAGTCTTATGGGTTTCTCTTTTCTTCCTCGTTTGTTCTTTCTGCACGGAGATAATCAGATAGCTTGGCTCATGATATGTATTCTGCTATCTAGGCGTATCTGATTATCTGCATAAGGTATGCATATACATAGACATTACATTAAACAGATAATATAGACATACACATCTGCAGGCAGAATGTATGTATCGTTATGCAGCACCTCTTTGAGTATTGTGTCTTCAGGTGTGGGTTCAGGGTGCAAGAATATAGAGCCCTGAATGAACCCTGGGCGCACAGCCACTTACAACACGCCTACACGCACTGAAGAGGCTTGAAGGGAGGATCCGAAATCATCAAGGCTTCGCGCAAGGCTGCATGAGGGAACACCAGAGAGTAGTCTTACCGAACCCCCTCCCCCCAGAAAAAAATCGGCAAAATTCATGGCGCAACACATATGCAGAAGCCGTTCTTCTACATACTTTGGGGGTCCAGGTAATCACTAATTGCCCGATGAATCCGAATCGCCAGCCTGTAGAGCATTGATTCAAGGACGTGGAGAGGGCCTGCTTGCAGTAGCCCGGGACTGTGTAAGAAGGGATATAAGTTCCTTCGTTTTGGGGTTCGTTGCAGGGTTCGGATTTTCGGTGTCTTGGGAGGTTGGGTTAAGTGAGGTGCCTATAGGCACATCTGCTCATCACCTGGATGCAAGTGCTTTTTCCGTTTTTCATGCGTCCCCTGAACCTCTGACCGCTGGTTCAGAGGCTTGGGGTAAAAGGCCTCGGGTCGGGGAGAGGGGGTTTGAACCTGCAGAAGTGGTTCTTCCAACAGCAGAGGTGTAAAGAAAGGAATGCTACGTTGATGTTGACCAAACAGCCTGCATGAACAACGAAACGGCATGCTTCGGGTTTTGGAATTGCGATGTACGGGCTATGGGTGTTCAGGGGTGTTGTGCACCCTGCAGCTCAGCTACTAGTATCAAATGAAAATGCTGGGGTGCATCCCGAAGCGATCCATTTGAGTCATTTAGGATTCGATATCCTAAACCCCTAACCCCTGAACACTGACCCTCCAAATTCCTACACAAACCCCCATAAATATCCTGATAGAGACCGAATGTAGGAGTGGAGACCGAATATCGTACTCAAACACTAGGATCATTGACATAAGGACTCCAAACAAGGTACCTTTCCGCAACAAAACCCAAGAACAACGGCATCAACACATTACTACCTCTAAACCCCTAAACCTCCTAAACCGCAAAGCCCTGGACCCTAAACCCCCATAAGCCCCGTTAAAAAAGCAAGCACCGTGCCTCGAGGCGCTGTTCCAGGCGCCGAGACACTTCCTCCGCTTGCCTGCGGCGGAGGGAGGGAACTTCGAAACGGGTTACTACCAGGGCTGCCGTGATTGTTAAGAATGCAAGGTACATTGGGGCAACTGTAAGGGTCATGGTTTTGAGTCGTGAGTGGGTTTCTGTGTCGCAGGGTTCGACTGGGGCTTCAAGTTTCATGGGATTAGAGGGCGAAACGAAGATCTTGTTGACAACGCAATGTTTTGTCTAGGGCTTACAAAGAGATCATACTCCAGCACAAGGCCCCGCCCTGCAATCACAAGCCTCAAAGTCTACACCCCGCGCCCCAAATCCTCTTTTCAGTAGATCTCTACACACCACGGTTCAGGGTTTGCTTCCATCAGCGTCTCAACCCAGGTCCTTGACCCTAAGGGTCCAAGTATATACCTAATACTCAAATACTCTCCCAAATACTCCCCTAGATAACTACGATCCGCAGCCAAAAGTACCTTATTATTGTCGTAAGACCAAGTGCCCACACTGGAAAGCACATCTGGAAGCCCCAAGCCCACGCTTTAGTCATTGCTTAACATTATAGTTACACACTCTAATATGGAAGGGGTTCTAAGGGGGGTAATCCCCAATTCTCCCTAGTACTCCCTTCGGTTCCCTAAAGCGCCCTAGGACCCTCCCCCCTTGAGCCACCCTCCATTAAGGATCCTATAGCTCCAAGTCCCCAAACCGAAACCCAAGAACCCGGAAGACCCAAACTACAAAGGGCCCGCCGAAACACCCTGAAGCCTGAAATCCAGACTCTGCAAGCCCTGAAACGCTCGACCCCTGTAGTCTCAAATTCAAACAAGCCTAAACCCTAAACCCTAAAACCCTAAATCAAGATCCAAGGCCCACCAGGCTTCTGCAAAGCCGCGAACCCGAAACCGAGCTAAAGCTCTGCAAGCCAAGTTTGAGGATTTAAGATTTAGGGCTGAGGGCTTCGGGCTTGAAGTTTAAAGTTGTAAGGTTTGTGGTTTATTGAGTTACGGCTTCCTCAGGAACCTTTTCAGAACCGTTTAAGGAACGGTTCAGGAACCCGTTACGGAATCCGTTGACAGTAGCTCTTTCAGGAGCCCTGTTAAGGAACCCTGCTACAAGCAACCCTTCAAGCAAGCATTCCATCACAAATAAAACTTGAGACAAATCCGGAACCCTAAAGCCTAAACCCTAAACCCTAAACCCTAAACCCTAAAGCCCCTAAACCATAAGCCGCAAGCGCCTTCAGGCCTTAACCCTAAATCATAAACCCCAAAGCCCCTACACCATAAGCCGCAGGCCCCTTCAGGCCTTCGATCGCTAGCTCGCCCCTGCTCCACCTCGGCCTGGAGGCCTTCACAAGTCAGGGTTTAGGGTTTAGGGTTTGGGGTTTAGGCGTTTAGGCGTTTAAGGGTTTAGGGTTTAGGGTTTAGGCGTTTAAGGGTTTAGGGTTTAGGCGTTTAAGGGTTTAGGGTTTAGGGGTTTAAGCGCTTTGGGGGTTCCGGGTAGGTTCTACGGGTTCAGGGTCTAGTTTAGTTTAGTTTAGTGCTTAAGTTTTGCTAACGCTTGCACGCGTGGTAGCGATTCATTCAGGCTTGTAACTAGGATGGTTTAACAAGGGCTTTGGAGGCGGGTTATAAGGGTTTTGCAGGGCTTGTAAGGGTCTGCATAGGTAGGTTAAGACGTCCTTATAAGTGTTTAGGAGTTTTGCGGCGCTTTGTACGGGCGTTCTGATAAGTGGCTTTATGATTAGATAGAATGGGGCTTTGAGGTATCGTATATATAAACATATGATTCCAGTATGGTTCTAACGGGGCTACAAGGGGATTCTTTGACTGAGACCCCGGTTTTGGAGGTTTCGGGAATTTCGGGGGAGTAAGACCTTTAAACGTTCTAGGGGCTTTCTTTATAGGGTTTCATAGGGCTTTCGGATCTACGGCGTTAGTGCTTTGCGACTTTACCGGTTGGGGTTTTCCCCCCCCAACTACCCTCCCATAGAGCCATTGGGGGGCAAAGCCGTACACCCGCAACCCTAAACCGCAAAACTTCAGCCCTAAAACCCAACACCCCCAAACCCTAAACCCTTAAATCCCAAAACCCCAAACCCCAATCTGGTCGAAGTATGGTGGTCAAGTTGGACTCGCGGCCAGCGACTCCTGGAGGATGTCGTAG